AATGGTGGTATTACACCTAATATGGGAAGCTGTACATGCACATTTGACCTTGTGAGTACTCTCATGTGTTAAAATTTCTTGCTATTTAAGTGAAATATTACTAATAATGAAATATTCTGAGTGGATTGAGTCTCTAAAACACATTTTATGAGAAAATTTCCTTGAAATAGGACTTTACCATGAATATTAGTTGACAGAATAAGCCATACTTAGAGTTTTGGGGAGCTTTTTCTCCTTTTTTCTTATATTCTGCTATACTAGAAAATTTTTCCTAAGAAATACTTTAATAAATATATAGTTTTAAGTAAATGAAATTATTTTTAAAGCAGTAACAACAAATTATTCACCAAAAGAGAAGCTTTTTATGTCCCTCTCTGGAACGCGGCGTAAATTTAAGTTTTACGTAAGGACTTATTGAAACCTCCTTGGAGACAGTAAACTTTTATACGGATAGTTCATTCAGCTTGAATACTTCAATTTATCATTTATTATAACATTTCTATCATAAATGAGTGAAAGTTACCCCAAAATTTTTATTTATTGGCCTATAAAGTAGAAATTTTGAGGAAATGAGAGGTATAAATGGACCAAAAGAGACCTTATAAGGAAGACAAAGAGGTCCATTGGTAGTATTTATCATCCTAAAGTCATCTTTTGTATCATATCCAACTGTTTGTAGGCAGATGAGATAAATATTTGATCATTTATTGGTCCACACTATATTCTATCATGATGCGGCTTGGTTTGGATTTTTCGAAGAAATTTAGCTCGAATCGCTACAGATGTCGCCTTACATTATACTAGATTTTTCCCAAACTATTGAACTGATTATGACAAAACTTGACAGGAATGCTTGAAATAACCAGTATAACAAAGGAAAAAAGTCACATTCAGTTTATTTAACAAAAAAGTCTTCTTTAGGTGTAATACCACCAAATCATAGTACGTCACATCCGGTTGCATACGAAAATAGGTCGAAAAAAAATATTCCCTTGAATTTGACAGTTGTAGGTAATTGATCCTACATTTCATTGCAGTAAAACATTTCTGGGTCATAAACATATATCTTGGGTATTTCAAAGCACCATTATTTTTTTATTTGGGGTTTCTATGAAATATTTTGGAAACTTGAGGTTACATGGTTACTAAAGCTTGTATACAGGTTAAAAAAGGGGGAAAATTTGATTGGTTAACTTCCAGTGATGGTTATTTTCTTATATGCAATGAAATGTTATGTGAAATTTTTTCTATAGTACTGGACAGGATCAAACTTTACTCATGCCAAGTATTTCTTTATTTGAAACAAAGATAAATTCTGCACAATTTTTTGAAAAGTGCAAATTTAACAAAGACTAATAGGGGAAAATCAATGGTGGTATTACACCTAAAACTAGAGGCTCTAAAGAGCCTGTGTCGCTCACCTTGGTCTATGTGCATATTAAACTATGGACACAGATGGATTCATGACAAAATTGTGTTTTGGTGATGGTGATGAGTTTGTAGATCTTACTTTACTGAACATTCTTGCTCCTTACTATTATCTCTATCTATAATGAACTTGGCCCAGTAGTTACAGTGGAAAATATTTTGTAAAAATTTACAAAAATTTACAAAATTTATGAAAATTGTAAAAAATTGACTATAAAGGGCAATAACTCCTTAAGGGGTCAATTGACAATTTTGGTCATGTTGACTTATTTGTAGATCTAACTTTGCTGTACATTATTGCTGTTTACAGTTTATCTCTATCTATAATAATATTCAAGATAACCAAAAGCTGCAAAATTTTCTTAAAATTACCAATTCAGGGGCAGCAACCCAACAACATGTTGCCTGATTGGTCTGAAAATTTCAGGGCAGATAGATCTTGACCTAATGAACAATTTTATACCATCAGATTTGCTCTAAATGCTTTGGTTTCAGAGATATGAGCCAAAAATGGCATTTTACCCTATGTATTATTTTTTTGCCATGTCGGCCATCTTGGTTTGCGGGCAGGGTCATCGGACACATTTTTTAAACTAGATACCCTAATGATGATTGTGGACAATTTTGGTTAAATTTGTCTTAGTAGTTTCAGAGGAGAAGATTTTTGTAAAAGATTACAAAAATTTACGAAAAATGGTTAAAAATTGACTATAAAGGGCAATAACTCCTTAAGGGGTCAACTGACCATTTTGGTCAAGTTGACTTATTTGTAGATCATACTTTGCTGAACATTATTGCTGTTTACAGTTTATCTCTATCTATAATAATATTCAAGATAATAACCAAAAACGGCAAAATTTCCTTAAAATTACCAATTCAGGGGCAGCAACCCAACAACGGGTTGTCCGATTCATCTGAAAATTTCAGGGCAGATAGATCTTGACCAGATAAACAATTCATGTCAGATTTGCTCTAAATGCTTTGGTTTCAGAGATATAAGCCAAAATCTACATTTTACCCCTATGTTCTATTTTTAGCCATGGTGGCCATCTTGGTTGGTTGGCGGGGTCATCGGACACATTTTTTAAACTAGATACCCCAATGATGATTGTGGCCAAGTTTGGTCAAATTTGGCCCAGTAGTTTCAGAGGAGAAGATTTTTGTAAAAGTTTACGGACGACGGACGACGGACGCAGGACGACGGACGACGGACGCAAAGTGATGAGAAAAGCTCACTTGACCTTTCAGGTCAGGTGAGCTAAAAATGCTTATTTTTGCCCCCTTTTCTGGCCACTTATTAATAAATGTTTTGGGCAAACATTTTACAATAATATTTAAAACTGAAATTAATTTGTAACCTTAAAATTAAATAGAAAATGACATCATAGTCATAGCTAAAAATAAACAAACTATTGGTAAATTTCCAATGGAGTTTATTATATTAAAACAATAAATTTGCAACCATAAAAGCGCATTAAAATACATCATAAAAGTATTAAAAAAAAATTAACTACATCATAAGGCTATTAAAATAGAAAATGACATCATAGTCAGACTAAAGGTAAACAAAAAACCTTCATCAGCAAAATTTTATATTGGCAAATTTCCAATGAAGTTTATTATACTAAAATAATTGGCAAATTTCCAATTTACATAATTCAAACATAGTGCAGGTGAGATATTTAAATGAGTTTGAATTACCAACCTTACACTGCTTTTAAATAATGTTCTTTACTCAATTATTTGTCTATTAAAATGGAAACCCTAGTTTTTTTAACCTTTTTTCCCCTTATTCCTTAAACGAAAAAAAAATAATTACCCCTTTTTTGACCCCCCCCCCCCCCTATGATTCATCACCCCCCCTTCCCCCCCCAAACCAAGCTCAATAACAGCCTTGCCTTTGTGGTATGGTACCTTGTTATACAATTTTAGAGAGATCCATACACTTGAACACAAGTTATTGTCTAGAAACTAAAAAATGCTTATTTTTCACCCCTTTTTAGGCCCCTTATTACTAAACGTTTTGGGCAATTACCACAAAACTCAATTCCAGCTTTCCCTTTGCGAAATTGAACCTTGTAGTAAAATTTCAGAAAGATCCATACACTTACACACAAGTTATTGTCATGAAACTAGAAAAATGCTTGTTTTTTGCCCCCTTTTGGCCCCTTATTCCTAAAATTTCGAGGAAATTAACCCCAAAATCAATCCCATCATCGACCCTTTGTGATATGGAATCTTGTAGTACAATGTCAAAGAGATCCATACAATAACACACAAGTTATGTCTGGAAGTTACAAAAATGCTTATTTTCGGCCCCTTTTTGGCCCCTAATTATTTAACTGTTGGTACCATAACCCCCAAAATCAATCCCCACCTTCCTATTGTGGTATTGAACCTTATGGTAAAATTTCATAGAGATCCATTCACTTAAACTAAAGTTAGAGTGCGAAAACCATTGTGTATTCGGACGACGACGCCGGACGACGACGACGACGACGACGATGCCAAAGACAACGACGACGACGACGCCAACGTCATACCAATATACGACCACAAAATTTTTTTGCGGTCGTATAAAAACAGGCCTAAACACAAAAACTTAATATTGACCAATGAACTGTGAAAATAAGTCAAGGTCAGATGAAACCCGCAAGACTGACATGTTATAAACCTTACAGTCATTACATACACCAAATATAATAGACCTACTACTTACAGAAGCTGAGAAACGGACCTATTTATGTAACTTTAACCTTGATCACTGATCCATGAAATGAGGTTGAGGTCAGCTGAACCCGTTCTGACAAATGTGTAGACTTTGCAAGGAACCCATATATCAAATATAATTATCCTACTACCCATAATATGTAAGTAACCCATATACCAAATATAGATATCCTACCACTTATTATAAGTCAAGTGAGAAATTACCATAACAAAAAAACTTTTTTTCAAGCAGTCACGTGCACTGAACCATGAAAATGAGGTCAAGGACAAAGGACATATGACAGACAGAAACTTGATAACATAAGTCATATGTTTACAAGGTATGAAGCCTCCAAGTCTACTACCCTCTGAAATATAAAGCTTAATACAAATAGTTTATGCCAATGCTGGATTGTAATCCCTATGTCTCGCACAGTCGCAGGTCAGACAAAAACCTAATATTATTTTACCATCATTATTATCTGAAAGAATAAGAACTGTTCTATTTTGAACAATAAGTATCACATATTCTTATTCATTGTTTAAATCTCTTACTTAAGGTATGGAATCAGGATTAGTACTGAATTTAAAATCAGCAAGTGAAAAGGTACAAGCAATGTCTGCTGCCATAAGAACAAAACATAGCCATGCCTCAACAATTTTTCATTCCAAAAAACAAAACAGAACAATAAAGGCAAGCGAAATTGTTTGCAGCACTTTAAACTGAATCATAAATACTTATTGCCTGTATAATTTTTTCTGGTAAAATTTTACAAACTGGAAAAACCAAATTGGTCAAATTTATTCCTGAATGACCAGTTAAGAGAAGTTTGTTTTGAGATTTTGGTCTTAAATAAACTCACTTCAGGTCTATCGTCATGGTAATCATGTGCCCCACCATGTGGTCTTTTCCTTGGTTGATCAAATTCAGAATCATCAAACTGTTCCCTGTTATCATTGTAAGTATTCCTCTTAAACTCCCCACTGTATCTGTTCCCATTAGATCCCTGTCTATTGTACTGGTTCCCACCACCTCTACCTCTAGAGTCCTGTCTATTAAATTCACCACTGTTACGAAAGTCACGTTTCTCATAGAAATCTTCCCCACTACTTCTAGAGTCCTGTCTGTTGTAGTCATTTCTCCCTCGTCCACGACCTCGAGAATCCTGTCTGTGGCTAAAATCGCCACTTTTGCGAAATTCCCTTTTATCATGATAATCCTCATTACTGTTCCAAGAGTCCTGCCTGTTATAATCATCAGATCTGTTCTCTTTGTAATGATCACTACTGCCACCCCTTCCTCCCCTTGAACCACGACCGCGAAAGTTTCTACGATTTCCACCTCGTCTGTCGTTATTGTAATGTTTATTTTCAGGACTTGCATCTCTGTCATCATGCTCTCCAAATCTGAAATCTTGTGGTCTATCATTTTCCCCAAAACTAAATCGTTTAGGGGTGTCCTGTCTAAACCTATATTCGTCGTCCCCAGAGTTCTGAAATCGATTATTATCATCCTTTAGCTGCACATTTCTGGACTCGGAATTTCTAGTTATATGCATATCCTAAACCAAGGAAAACGTGCAGTTAGTATATACATGCAATCAAATGTTAATTATTAGTAAAGAATATAGGGTTGGTTAACAAACTATCATGCTAATGGAAATACTACTCTACACAAGTTTTTAAATGTATCTTAAGATTGATTTATTATTGTTTTTCACATACATGTACTAAGGATTCATTATTAATTGTGGGTACCAATTTTCGTGGATTTTTTATTTCATTGGTAAAAGTAAACCATTAGTTCTAATGTTTAACGAAGGACACTTTTTCTATAGGCTTGTATGCAAACTTTGTCATAACCACCAAATCAAATATCCACGAAAGTTGTTGCTGAACCAACGAAAATAAATGAATCCACAGTATTCTGACTTCCAACCAATCATTCTTAACTATTTTTCATAATTTTTGCATGCCTGGTGAAAAACAAGGAGCAAAAAACAGTTTTAAAGTCTTTGACCCAGGCAGGGATCAATCCACTACCTCCTGCAATACAGGCAAGCAAGCTGGCTTAAAATAACCCTCTCTGGAACTCAAAGTTCAACAGCAATGTTAATGACCAATTGGTACTAAAAAGATGAACCCGTATTCATTTTTCACAATATGGTACAATTATAGGTAGGCTACTAATGTGTTTTAAATGAAGCTAAATGCATATACTTATTTATACATGTATTTCATAGTGTTAGTAAAATATCTATATATATATTGTCAACAATGCTTATATAATATATACACTCAACTGCATCTCAGAAGTTCCAAAGCAAACTGTCAAGATGGACAATATTGTAATTTGGGAGCAGAAAGTCATGAAATGTGAATATTTGCTGACTTTTTTTTTAAAACAACCAGATCAATTTTATTTCCTAATAGAGTGTGATTAAAGCATTTTCCTTTGGAACAGTTAAGGCACAGATGGTCTATTACGTTTAAGGGGTAAGCTGTGATAATGCAAAAATTTCCTGTAACATTCAATATTTTTATTTTTGCTATCTTAAAATTTTTCATTTATTTTTTTCTGATAATAATTTAGCATAATAAAAAACAGTATTAATTAAATGATTGCAATGGAAGAGAATAATCAGAGATCAGATAACTGACAGAATTATTTGAAACAATGTTAAATCATATTTAATCATTTTATTTATATATGAGCTGTGTCGGATAGAAATTGACCATATGCAAGTGGACGTATACAAGTACATGTACAAGATTTTGATTGATTTTGGAACATTCAAATACGACATAAAAGATGAATTTGGTCTGTTTTGTAGGGTTCTTATATCAACTCAATTTTCAAACAGTTACTGACTTTGCAAAGAGATTTTTTTCAACCCAAAATAGGTTAACAGATTTATTGATATTCATTTGCATAAGGTCGATTTCTATTGGATACAGCTCATATTTTTTTTCAAAAAACAGCACCAGAAAAAAATTGTCAAAAATATGAGTATATACCTGAACATGATTGAAATCACCACCTGATTTAGGGCGTGGCTTCCCTCTTCCAGCTGGTTTATTATTTTTCTTGTTGTCTGTATAATTTCTGTCATTTGGATATGTCTGAAAAAATAAACAATTCTTATAAATCCAAATCTGAATACAAAAAATAGTAATGAATAAAAGAAAAATGTGCCTGAGGACACGAATTCCCCCCCGCTCAAGCTTGCTTATAATACGTGAAAATATTTTTGGGATGGATGGACAGATGGTCAAGGGTAACACTTAAAGCCCCCCTCACCTAGCGGCATGGGCATTAAAATATGAAATTCTCAATTTTGTATATATATAATTACATATGTCATTTCTTACACATACATGTATATAACTCTGATGTTTATCATTTCTATGATGTCTGAACATGTCCCATATATATTTGAAGATATACATATCAATCCATTAAAGTACTGCTAACCAAGTATGCCTACTTGTGGAATTAATAAACAAAAATATGTGTCCATACGACACAATAAGGACACCTTACCATTGGTCCAAATTTAAAGTAGAATGTCAATCCCTTTGAGTGATGCCTTTTCTGAAACCATAGACACATTGATAGAAAGAAAATAAGGTACATTTTTAGCCTCATTTTACTTTGAATAAATCTGCATTAAATAGTGTGCAGCGGCATACTTTTCATATTCAAATATGGTGATTATTTATACTTTTTATCATATAGAAACAGCATAGCAAAACTCTTTTCTGTGTTACTGGCATAAATTAGAATCACTTTATGTATTGTAGATTTCACTGTACTTTTTTGGCATATGAATATTAGGAAAACGATATTTCTGTTAAAAATAATTATCTAAGGTCGGATACACAGTGGTCGGAGAGCAGAAATATAATCAAACAAAAAAAATATATATATAATTTCATTAATAAATACTACCAGACTAAGAGAATATTCATTGTTAATGTTAAACTGAGACTGAATTTATACCTAATAATTATAGAATATGTCCCACATGTTTGACCAGTCATTAATAAAGGCACATTTATGAAAATTATTTGCAACGTATGAGCACCAATGAGCAGGGATGCGTACTCAAAATTAGCTAAATATCTAAATTTTAAATGGTCGTGAATGAAAAAATACTTGCGTGGTTTCAATTCACAAGGATTTTAAATCTCACAAAAAACGTAATTAATGTTTTACAATATAAATCATAACAAATTTAAATACTATCATAATGTCAATTATTTTATACTGTTTTAGTAGGGATTTATAAGTCACTGCTTATATTTTGTATAGCAATATATTCATAATCTTTAAAATTGATAAATAAAATGTCCATCCTATATACTTGACATTTGTGTTTATTGATATTATATTCAAGCTATTTTCGGAAAAAAAGTTCACAAACAGGAATGTATGTTTATTATAAAATTTCAATTCTTTTTTTTTCTTTTTCTTTCTTTTATTAGTTCAACCTTATAGCATCTTAATATTTGTACTATGATATGGTTTTGAAAATTGTATTCATTGTGTGTTGACCAGCTATACTGTATACGTCTTGATTCATTCACATTATACACCCTGTTCATACGCACTCTATCGGTTTGCGTTCACAAAACATCCAGATAAAATGTCAATGAATCCGGAGTCAAAACAATTGAGGTAGGTAGTTTGACATCCGAATTCAACATGTTCGACAATAAGTTTAATATATGTGATGATGCAAATGCGTATTCTTATCCAGACGCGGTAGTAAGAGCTTGACATGTGATTTTCAAGCACGATCATCATTGCTTACGGTATTCTGACCTCTAGCTGTTTCTCTTTTGTTTTCTTTTTTGAAGTAACTGTCCTTTTATAAATTTTGACATTTTCAAAATGCCAAGGATTTTCTACCTAAGGAATAGATTACTTAACTTCGTACTTTATTTGGCTTTTTTTAACACTATTTTCATAAACGCGTCACCGGTGATTCTTTGTAGACTTAACTTGCGTCTGTCGTACAACATGTTAATCCTGGTATCTTTTCATATCTACATGTCTTTTTATATAAATTGGTTCTTTTGAGAGTATGTTTATGTATTCATAAAACTTCTGAAAATAAGATATTCTTCAAAACCAAGTTTCCCTGTAGAATATTTGGATTGATTTAAGAAAATCAGGAAATCCTTAAAATTTGAGATGTTTTATGAGACCAAAATAAGTCTCTATATAAGAGGTCCAAATGAAGCTGGTGTGTTACTTTCAAGAAATATATACACGAAACATTCTTAAAAGTTGCATGCCACAGGGTTTCACTTCACATGGAAAATATATCTATACAATATCTAACATGAGTACAGACAAATTCAATAACGAGTTGATAATATGAAGAAAGCTCAATATAAAGATATGATAGATAAAATATATGCATCCAGATTATAAAGCAAACTGAGTGCTTAAATTTATATTGTAATTGGTTTGTGCAATTTGCATTATACATCCGGTTTGTACAAACTGGGATTTGCAATAGGTTTATGAAAAAAAGTACAATCCCAAGTAACAAATGAAATAGTCGATCTTTAAAATGTATATTCAAATAGTAGCTGTATATATACACATTTCTATTCACAACTATCCAACATTAATTTCAACTGACTTGTGCAAGAATGTACACACTAATACATATTTTTAATAAAGGTTGTTTAACTTCATCATTATCTTCTTCTATTCACATTCAATTATTTCAATTCAAATCATCATCAGTGGAAACACAAATTCAGCAACAATCTTTTGGTAACCAGTCAGCGGTCTTAGGTTCACATATTGCTTTTCTTTTTTTAAAGAAAGCAACTTGTTTTAATTTACATGATTTTCTTTAGAAGATGAGTTACTATGGTTGGAATCTTTTGGGGGATTTACCTGTATCTTCTGATGGAGGCAAGTAATATCAGAAATATCTGTTGTAAAATTACTGTTTTTCTTGCATAGGTGTGTAATATCAGAAGTATCTGTTGAGAAATTACCTGTTTTTCTTTCGTAGGTGAGTTACTGCCGGAGGGATCAGTTGGTAATGGCTTGGACAATGAAGCTGCTACTTTCTTGTCTTTTTGTATTTCCTAAAAAAATAAATCAAATTTGAATGGTTAACTATCAAATACCAGTATTGGATTAAGAAGGCTTTTTTAACAATAAGTAAGTTATAATACCAATTTTTATTGTTTTGGCACCTTCAATCACTATGAAAAAACTTCTTACACCATTATTTCAATTTTTATCGAAATCCTATTATAAGAAGACATTTCTCAAAATTTGTTTTCATAGATAGATTCCCCACTTTTAATATTAAAACAAAAATTTAATCAACTTGGAATAGTTTTTTTATCGATATATATAATATTTCTATTGAAATCCTAGCACAAAAAATTAGTTCTTAAAATTTGTGAATTTTTAACAAATACTATGTACAATGATGTATTTCCTTGTAAATTAAAATTTTGTCATTGAGAATCAATTTTGAATAGCATATCATAATTTACATGTCAATTTTCAATTTTTGTTGAAATTCTAGTGTGAAAGATATTTCTTGAAATTTGTGATTATTCAACAAAACCTAAGTTTTTTAACACAATTTTTGTCCAAAGAGACATTCCTATTATAGGTATCTACCCTGAGCATAAAATTTTAAAATTTAGTTAAGGCAATCTTGTCAGCGAGACCTTAAGGAACAGCTACTAATTCATTTCAAATATATTGATCAAGCCTGATCATAATCACATTACCTCGTGTCTTTTTCTTAAGGCGTCATTCTTTTTTCTGATTTCTTCCATCTTTTTATTCAATAATGCTTCCCTTTCCTCCTTGGTCAGGATATCAAGGAACAACTCTGCAGATGCCTGATTATGACAAAATAGTACCATTGATTAATCTATTTTTGCTGATTCAAGAAAAAATACATTTTTCATGCATACTTGATTTCCTGATTTTGATAAATGTCATATGAACAAATAAAACAAGCCTATAGGAAACTTGAATATTGTTCAACACTTAAATTTGATGTTAATTGTACCCATGAAATCCATGACAACTAATATCCTACAAATATCAATGAAACCACAGTAGCACAGGACATAGTCACATTGAAAATACAATATACATTGTATATAAGTATTAACAGTTGATTCTATGAACCAGATGTTGTCACTAATATCATATATGTATTTGTTTAGTTTTTTAAGGAAATGTAGAGACATTCATAACTGCTTTTCTTTCAAGATATTTATAAATTTATTGATTTGTTGAAAATGTGTGTGCTTTTTTCAATCTGTAAAAAATACATGTTTCTCATTTGTGTCACTGTATGACCCTGAAACTGTTCTACCCTTAAAGTGATATGCAATTAATTGTACGTTTATCATGTACACATGGTAAAAAGAAAAAAAAAAAAAAAAATGCATGCGATGTCATGCGATGTCATGCAAAGCATAGGTCCACTCATAATTTAAAGTATCAGAAAACATTATGTAGATGTCTAACAGATTTGAAAGTGTACCCATGTAACAACTCATCACTGTCAATGCTGTCAAACTGCTGACCAAATATGAAGTCACTCTATTCAGTATACTATAGTATTGGAAAAATGTTTGATGAAAAAAATTTAAATCAATTCAACATATATTGGAAATTCAAAATATCTTCAAACAGGAAAAAAGTAATTGACAGAGCCAAAAAGTGCTCAATTACCCCCAAACTCAATTCCAGCTTTCCCTTTGTGATATGGAACCTTGTGATACAATTTCAGAAAGATCCATACACTTACACACAAGTAATTGTCATGAAACTAGAAAAATGCTTGTTTTTTGCCCCTTTTTTGGCCCCTAATTCCTAAAATTTTGAGGCAATTACCCCCAAAATCAATCCCAGCATTCCCTTTGTGATATGGAACCTTGTAGTACAATTTCATAAAGATCCATACACTTGAACACACGTTATTGTCTGGAAACTAGAAAAACGCTTATTTTTTGCCCCTTTTTGGCCCTTTATTTCTAAACGTTTTGGGCAATTATCCCCAACCTCAATTCCAGCTTTCCCTTTGTGATATGGAACCTTGTAGTACAATTTCAGAAAGATCCATACACTTACACACAAGTTATTGTCATGAAACTAGAAAAATGCTTGTTTTTTGCCCCTTTTTTTGCCCCTAATTCCTAAAATTTTGAGGCAATTACCCCCAAACTCAATTCAAGCTTTTCCTTTGTGATATGAAACCTTGTAGTACAATTTCAGAAAGATCTATACACTTACACACAAGTTATTGTCATGAAACTAGAAAAATGCGTTTTTCCCCTTTTTTGGCCCCTAATTCCCAAAAGTTTGAGGCAATTACCCCCAAAATCAATCCCAGCATTCCCTTTGTGATATGTAACCTTGTGGTACAATGTCAGAGAGATCCATAAACTAACACACAAGTTATGTCTGGAAGTTACAAAAATGCTTATTTTTTGCCCCTTTTTGGCCCCTAATTCCTTAACTGTTGGTACCATAACCCCCAAACTCAATCCCAACCTTCCTTTTGTGGTATTGAACCTTATGGTAAAATTTCATAAAGATCCATTCACTTAAACTAAAGTTAGAGTGCGAAAACCAATGTGTCTTCGGATGACGACGACGACGCCAACGTCAAACCAATATACGACCACAAAATTTTTTTGCGGTGGTAAAAAAAGTGCTCATACATGTACTTCAACTCATCACTGTTAAGCCCTCACCAAATATGAAGTCATTCAAGTCAGTATAGTATTGGAATGTATTTGTAATGTCTGATGACAAATTTTTAAGTTCATTCTCCATATTGGAAATTCAAAGTATCGGCAAACAGGAAGTAGGCAACTGACTGATACAAAAAGGGCACACATTACAACTCGTCACAGTCAAGCTGCTAACCAAATATGAAGTCATTTTGTGCAGATTACATATGAGAAACATAACCCAAAGTTCATCTATGATCAATTTCACTAAAGCTTTAAACTAGGTTACAGAAATCTAAATGTTAACAACCATTTTTGTTCTTTACACAATAACTGTTATGAATAAATAAAGATATTTAACAACACTATTGTTACAACAGGTTTGTGGCATAAGGAAATTTGTTATCATAAGAACCTGCATGTACATCACTAGTAAGATCGTGAAAAACTATTATCTACAATTTACCTGGTAAAAATCTTAGTCTTGAGATTGTGAGACTTCAATCGGAATTGTAAAACCCTAATTTATTTGTCATTATCGCACCTCGGATAAATTAGTGACTATGTTATTGGTTTAACGCCATCAGGGGTGACCCTCTATGGATTTGTAGGGGTCAGTATTTTCTATATGGGTATCATGATGTCATATTTACTGACGTCATCTATTAACGTTATTGTATTTCATTGTTTTTATACAAAATTTGGCAGAAAAAGTCGTGTGTGCGATAAATTTGTGATATGGTTCACTGCTGACCTCCTACGGATCCATAGAGAGTATGCAAGGGGTCAGTAGCAAAAAATATAACTTACAAAAATGTACAAAAATATATCATGGCATAAATTTGAAATACATGTACGTTGAAGCTCCAATGTATATTTGAGGTAAAACAAGTTTAATAAACATTTTCTAAGAAGAGAAGCACTACAGTTTTGTGTTTCAGTCTGTTTTAATTACCCACCTCATTAGCCATGATTTCTATCTATAAGGGAACAAAGTGGGAACAGTTTCAGCAGATGGCCATTAGTAGTGAGACTAGCCCATTCCTGAAATATAAAAACATAGTTATGTAAAATAATGTTTACATGACTCTTACAAAATAATGTCTACATGACTCTTACAAAATAATGTCAAAACTTCTACACAACTCTAGCTCAAATCTATACACCCAAAGAATGGTTTTCCAAAATGCAGAAAAATTCCACACTTACTGCGACGGTCACATCTCATACTTGACATCTGGCTTCAGTAATTGCTTGTTATTGAAGACCATGTTTTTGCATCTGAATGTTATTTTGGTTTCAAAGTGTTTTGGGGTTGCTCAATATGTAGGCAACAAAAATAATACCTGTGTTTCAGCTAAAATGCTGAAAAAAAAGGTTGGTAGGTTACTAAAATAAATACTTTGATTTTTCAAAACATTCTTAGCTGGTTTCAACAGGCGAAACAGTTTAAGTGTGTTCTTGGGTCGATCACTGGGGAGTGGCAGGACGATGATAGACTTCAAAATTGGTCTTTTCTGCTTCTCTGTTAAGCACACAGTACTTTAGAGTAATTAGAGGAAAGAATGGGTTTCTCTGAGACAGAATATTGTGTCAAAGCAGGGTTATCAACCTGTCACCATGTGAGCTAGGATTTAAACGCCTGATTCAGCAAGCCAGACTAATACATAGCATTAAAGAGACTGGCAGAAGGAAGGCCTTGATGGATGAGGGAATTTGGGCGAGGGAGTTGCTGTATATATATCTCTCATACCCTCAGTGATTGGGGTTATAAAAATCTTATCTAGGAACGCTTTATAAAAGACATTCGCTAGTTATCTCCTTAACATAATATTATATTTAGAAAATATCTTTATGGTGAAAATAAATATTATTCATTGTACTGTATTATTTTGAAACTAATACAAGTGTTCAGACTTAATCAATAAAAGAGAACTGCAACAAACTTGTAATGGTATGGTCTTATAACACATTAAAGAAATTTCCACAACTAATCATAGAACATGTAGAATCAACTCTGTCTATAAGTATGCAGACTAACAGCTGTGACAATATGTATAAGGTACACCTATGTGTGTGTTAGCCCAATCTTTTATATCTAATTTACACCAAGATATTATTGTCAATGCAAAACGATTGTTTTCAATGATTAAGGGGGTGGGGGGGGTGGTCTTTCAGCGATTTGACCATATGTTATTGAAAAACATGATAAATGCAGGGTAGGGTATCCATTTTCATTTAATGTCATCTTGGTGTAAATACAAAAACAAAGGCCAAAAATAAGGAAAGGTTATTTAGGCCATTATAAAAGAACCCTAGATTCTCATCCTATTTTTATTTTTAAAGTGGGGTTTGCCTTTTTCTGTTACATTGTGTTGCAATTTTTTTTTATTTAAATATCAAGAAGTCCAAATACAATTTTTTAGACTGAAAAACTTGGGACAGGTGATGGGGGAGTGAGAATCTAGGATATTCAGGTTTATTGAGTGCAATCACTTAAATTAGCACAACCTCAAAATCTTTATTAAATTTTACTTTTTGCTCTAAAAAATAATATATGAAAAACATTATAAATTTATAGAATAATCAATTGCTTACCTACCAACTGTGTTCAGTTAAATGTGGGCCCTACAACCCCAAAACAATCATTTTTTACGGGGTGGCCTAACAAAGTCCAATGAAATCTGGTATACATCACAACAATACCTTGTAGCCATTTATAAATTATTGTGCTAAAAAACATATGAAATAAACAACAAAATTTATCCTACGTCTTGTAAAATGCCTCTCCTTCCATTTTAACATGTATACTTACTTAACACATCCTCAGGCTGACTGAGAAACTGACAAATTTACTTATCTATTGAATGTTATTCTGCCAAATATTACTCACACAGCAGGTCAATTAAATAACTATCTGGAAAATTTTTACTTGTGTTTATAATCTACATGTAGCTGATTTAAATCAAATTTCAGCTCCATGAAACTGATCATTCTTATTTAAATAACAATCACAATGAACTTTATCAATGAATATATACATATAAATTCTATTCTTCTAAATTTACTGATATTATTTTCAAATGAAGAAACAAAATCAGCATTATAATTATAATTTTTATTGTTTTTCCACCTTAATAAAACTTAGTCCTAGATATGTATAATATTCTTTTAATTATTTGATGTGAAATGTATTTTTTTTTTAATTTTGATATCTTCCATAAATAGAACTAATTTAAATTAAATTTGAAATAAATATTACTTTAACAAAATTTAAAATATGATTGATTTTGTTGTAAAGATACAGTTTGCAATTGAAATAATGTACTGTGTAATTATCTTATAGCCATTGTATATAATTTTAAGGGGGTAAAATGGCCCAGATCCAACCCCCCTTAATTTCATTGTACCTAGATATATAGCCAGAGTGAACAATTTTTTGTAAAAATAAAATCACTATAGTACACTACTGCGGACAATAATTGCATATTTATCAGCTAATTAAACCTATATTATTATTACAAAGATGATACATTCATTCATAGAATGTGTGGAACAGCTGGGAAAATAAAAATCTACATAATTAACAGATGTGCATCTGTTATCATAGAGCACTAAATATACTTATCTCCTAGATGTATTTACTATCTGTATATACTACAAAGAAAACTTCACAGAAAGAGGGGAGGGTCTTAATTATTATAAGTTGACCCAGACACAAGTCTACACCTACTTATATTAACCATTACTACATGACTACAGAGAAAACTTCTCAGAACAAGGACTCTTAAGGAGAGGGTCTAAGGTTGGCCTAGACCCCAGGATTATCTGACCCAAATAGACTACCTACTAAATCTTATACCTGTAATCCTAAAAAGGGAGGGTCTACTAAGGTTGATCTAAACCCAGAAAGCCATTCTGGAGGCATTATCTGATACAAGACTACCTATCAAATCATCTCTAATATCTGTAATACTAAAAAGGAGGGTTTAAAGTTGACATTATCTGACACAAGACTACCTATTAAATCATCTCTAATATCCATAAAACTAAAAAATAGGGTTTAAAGTTGACCTAGGCCTGAGAAGCCAATCTTCAGACATTATCTTACACGAGACTACATACTAAATCATCTCTAATATCCGTAATACTTTAAAGGAGGGAGGGAGGGTCTAAGGACTTGACCAAAATGTAATTTAATAGTTAAAATTAGAAAGAATTGACTTAGCTACATTTTTATTGGTACATGCAACAAAACTGGTAAATATGTATGGATTTTGGTGTAATCTTTTTTAAATAAATATAACACACTCCATATGATACACAAAATGTGTAAAATATTGACTACCTAAACATGCTTAATGTATATTTGTATATATATATATGTACCTTAAGAAAATAAGCAGTCTCTCTTATGAAAAGAGGAAAGAGATGATTGTAAAGCCAGTAGATACAGTCAACACAAAAATTTGAAATGATGGCCAAGTTTATATTCATAGCATGAGTAATACTTCTGTGTCAACTTGTTTGTCTGCCAAAAGACATAAGATTTTCCTTTAGAAATAACATGGTAAATATCTGAAATCAAACCAGAATAACTTTTGACAAATTTAGCTTCAGCTGTTATAAAAAAAAGGTCATTAATTTTCAATAGATTTATCTTGGGGTGTTTAAAGTCCAACACAGAAACTTTATCCTCTTAGTAGGCCGGTAAAGTTTTCAAAAGACAATGAAAGATGATCATACAAGTAGAGCAGAGGGTGGCCGCATAACAGTGTGGGATGTAGTTGCGTTTATTTTTTTAAAGGGAATTTGTGACATGTAAATAGTTTTATAAATTATGGGGATTAACATGAATGAACTGACATTTAATTATCTGCAATTGTTTCCAGATAAACATATTCATCATCAGAAAAAATTGCACATTCCAAAAATTATCAAACCAACTTATTTTTTAATGCAAAAAAAGAATAAAATGTTTTGCTCAAAATACAAGAAAAAGCTTTTCTGCCTTAAGATTATTTTAACTTATTTTGAAATGAAAGACACAAAAAGTATCTTCTGCATCTTATATTGTAGGTACCGGTATGTATTAGAAAATCTTCTTCTTATATCATAGGTACATATATATATTATTTTGACCTATCAAAGAAAATAGTGTTGACAATAAGTACAAGGCAGGTCACATACCAAAGTCTTCCCAGGTAATAATCATAGGTAAATAAAATATGTGCCCACAGGTTCAATTTTAAAATTCTTTTGATGTATAAAAGTTGATGGAGTGGAACAAATATTTAGCAATAAGAAATATCAATGTGGTCATTATATACCCCCTTGTTCCAATTGCCACCTACTCCAGTTTAAATAAGTATTTACTTTTTAAAGTAATTGTTAAAACTTAAGAGATAATAATCACGATACTTTTAATGGGATAAAATTTTGTTTATTTGTTTGCATTTTTTGTTGACCAGTTCAAACTTCAATCAAATTCTGACTAAATCATATAAAAAGCTGTGTTTGATTCAATCAAAATCTCTATCAGTGTTCTACATAGGAACTTTAGCATCAAGTTTGCACCCCCCCCCCCCCCCACCCCCCCCCCCGCAAAAAATTAGTTGTTGTCTTGTGAACTTATTGAATAAACACATTTGTAGCTGGAATGTATAGAAAGCTTGAAAGCATAGATAAGGAACTGTATAATGAAAAAGCAATTTTAATATGTGGCTTGCATTTCACTACGTTTTATTTTAGAGGCATAACCTGCTTCTTTAACCTAATATTACATGTCAAGGTCATGTCTTGGATTAACCTTGACCTTGTACTGTTTTGGTTTCAGTCAAGGTGATGAATGCATACCTTCAGGTAAACAAAAAACATATTTATACAATGACTTTTTAGTTATTAAGAACTACTTCGTACATGTACATATCATGCATATGTATAACAGCATCAAGGTGAAGTAACTATTTGACGGATCAACATGCATGCACTGGATTATTCTGAAATTAAATGTACATTTAGCACATTTAAGTTGTGGGGTAAAG